GGAAGCACTGGAAACGCTTCGGGAGATTCGATTTGGCACTTTTTGATTCACCTAGAGTCACATAATCATTATCCTCGAAAAGTAATCATGTAGACAGTGTGGACTTTTTTTTCTACTGTGCAGGGCCACGCTTTACAAAACCAACTTCAGAAAGATTACTTACTTCTAATGGAATGTGGCACCATCTTCTTCGTCCGTAATACCTTCGCAACAGTGGCGCTTTTTATGCTACTCTCTTCTTGTTCATTTCCATGCGGATGTGCAGCATTGGAATTTTCACGTTCCACTTGGACGACGCTTCACCATCAGGTCTAGGCTCTGCCAAAATAAACCAAATATGTATGCGAGCGCAAAAATCAATACGGTTAGACAACACACACAAGGAACAGCCTGCTAATAACACATAAGTTTTATTATAAAAAGGCAATTACCTGGCATAGATTCAGCAAAAGGCTGAACTAGTGAAATGGATGATGGACCATGGGCAGGCGATCCTTCACACGCATTAGACATTCTATAGCCTCTTAAGAATTAGAACACAGAAAGCTCTCAACTCGCACAAGAAGAATCTAAAACGACTTAGCAATACGATACCATTTTCTCTTCACTGACAAAAGTTAACGCGTCACAAAAAATAGTTGCGGATAAACTTGGAAAAACTTCATTATAACTTCGAAAAAAACTTCATTACATACAAATGATTCTCAAAGATCGAGCATTCAAAAGTTTCGAAAAGACAAAAATTAGATCAGTAATTTTGAGCAAATAAAGTGGGACCGGATTTGCACCCCCTCCCCTATAATAGGGAAAGAATAAACTATAATCGCAATAGAAAAATAATAAAAAACAGGATTAAAACATAATCAATTAGGATGATGGTCCCTTTAACAATTTGAACGAGCCCCAACGCAATAGACTCGTACGCGGCGGCCGCCACGCCGCCGACCCCGCCTACCAGCGCGGCGACCCACTTATCATCGACGATAGAATCGCCACACACCCTCGTGGATGCCATCGCTTCACAATGCACCCCGGCGCAACCCAAAGTTGGACATCGTCTCAGCTTTGACTTGGGCTCAAGTCGTGGAGGTTTTCTCGGCCGTGTAACGGTTAAATACGGGAGGCGACTAGCAGTCAGAAAGAGCAATGTCTGGACTACACCGGTGCAAGGGTAGAGCCGTCCAGCTCTATATCATGGCTTCGGCTCAAAGTTTTTGGACGGAGTGGGCCACACCAGCACGTTGAAGACGGACTGTGCCGGCAAATTATTTCCCTCTGCTTGACGGTTCGCTTCAGATCTCGTAGCTGCTTTACGTACGCATCGACCGAGGAGGCAGCTTCTTCATCCAGTAGTTTTTCGGCCCACAGCTATCTCAAGCTGAGATCACAGGTACTCCCAAATCGCTTCGTCATTCGAACCGTAGGCTACCGCTCTGGAGCGCTACTGTCGTGGAAGATCGTCTGATAACTAGAGACATTGTCCTTATGCAGCTCCATTATTTCGGCGTCGACAGCTATCATGCTAGCGCCAGGGTGGTATAAGAAAGAGTTGATGGAAGCGCTTGAAGGGGTCGTGCCGAAGGTAGCGGATAACATTCTTGCCCATATTGCAGCATAAGAAGCAGGAGTCCAGCCAGTGATACCAATAGGAAGACCAATCCTCGATGTATAACTGCTCATGTAAGGACCCATAGACTATTGTAAGGGCCCATAGATAGATTATGTAAATTACATCGTCTGTTTGTTTGTGACCCAACGCTGGGCTGCTGGAGACTGGAGGAGACCTGACCTGGGGCTACCTGAGGATATTGCTAGGAGGAAACGGCTAAACCCCGAGGTATCATGAGGTCGCCCCGAACCCTCTCGCGACCACACATAAAGCGAGGTCAGACAGTATTGTACTCTCTTTTCTACTCACTCGACACACTCGCCTCACCTCTCTAGTGTCCCAACACTGGGACATCTATTCTACTGAATAAACTATTCTATACTCTGTGTTCAACTTCAGTCTGGTCGCAACTAATACATTCTTCGGAACGAAGAAAACTACTACACCGTTCTCGTCTACAACATGGCCCAAGAATTCTACGGGGGGGGGGAACAAAAAAAGAAGTCACTTTTCTTCCTTGACATTTGAGGCGTCATAAGTTACACTTTACTAAATTCTGATCGGACGATTATACCACAATATTAAAGAGCATATCAAATACTATCATGATGCTCCGCCACAGCCTTCTGGAGGAGCGCCGTCGAGAGATTCTGCCACGAAACCGTGAGTGAGTAACTGGCTTTAGCGAGATAGTTGATTCCTCGGCCACTGTAGACCCCCTCGTTGAGCTCCGCCCGAACCCGGTAATTGAGAGATCTTAGGTCAGAGGACGTACTTAAACATTTCATCTTTTTTCAAGTACTAGAAGCCCTTCCCTTCTTAGTGCGAGAGTTTTTCCAGCACCCTTCGATTCCATGGGGTGGCACCCAAACTGTAGCAGTACAAGGTTTCTGAGAAGGTCTGGGCGACAACATGTGGGGAGGATATTCTCCTCAAGTTGCTCGATGTAACTGATAGCGCTCACCTTCAGCCCGGGTCTACAGAGAAAATATCGGTCTTTCCATTCCAGGTACGTCTAGTCCATAACATCAACCCGCGCCTTGGCGGCTGTGGTGGAGATGATGTCCTAGACCGTAGCGACGTTGCCGGAGCTGCTCGATGTTGGAGGTCATCCAGATCGAGAGCACTGATCTCCAGGCAGCTATTCATAGGTGACTCCATATTAGAAGTTTCGCAGCTGTTTGGATGTGACATGAATTCCGAAGTTCTTCCCCAGTCAGGTTGCGACTGGAGATGACTTCATATTTTGTTTTACATGAAGGTGATGGGCGAGAGCCAGCTCATGCTTTTCGAGGAACATCTTGGGTATCTTCCCTGTGGTGCTCCTATCCAGTCCTCTGTCTGGGCTGCAAAAACTTTGCTGATTTGTGACTTGGTCAAAGTGACTTGTTTTGGCCGCCCCCCTGTACTAGGTTCCATTATACGACATTTTTGAGGATTAATCTTCAAATGGGCTTCCCTAAAAACGTTGAGCACCTGTTGCATGATGTCATCATGCCGTTCTAAGGCATCGCTAGCAATCAATCGATATCGATGTCATCGATATAAACTGAAACCTCAGGACCTAACAATTCACCCAGCACATTATCCACCAATCGTTGGAACTTTGCTGGTGCTGTCGTAAGGCCAAAAAGGAGAACACGAAATTGAAAATGCCCTGATGTTGTGGTGAACGCACTAATTTCCGAGCCTTTTCGGTTAAGGGCACTCGCCCGTAGCTAGGTAGCGATGAAAACCATCGTTTTCCTTGCAAATTTTGCAATGTGATATCACTTGGCGGTAGGGGTAACTATCCTTTTTCGCCACCTTGTTGACCTCCCTATAAACCACACACAATCAAGTAGTACCATCTTTGTTGGCTACTAATACGATAGGAGATGCCCATGGAAATGGGCTATTTTCAACCACCCTCCTCTTTTTTTAGATAGCGCAACACTGCGTCCAGTTCCGCGCGTATCCGTAGAGGACGGGCCTTGTTTTCTGACGGATGGGTGGATGATCACCCACATCAATGTCATGAGTGACTAAATCGGTTTGCGTTAGTTCCGTATCCGAAGTAGCAACGTCCCTGTATTCTTCAATCACTCTGCGCATTTCATGGGGTAACTTCCCAGCTTTTCGATTTTATTCAATATATCCAAAAGCACGCGAATCCTTTCAGCATCCTTTAACACAGCGGGCTGACGAAGGATCATCATATAACTTGTGACATCGGCTATTCTGGGGTCAACCCAAGTTCCCGTTGACCACCTTCCTAGGTCCTCTCCTCGTCCTATTACCCAGGGTTCCGGACCTTTACTGATGACTGATAGCTCGGCTTTGCCTTCATCCACCTGGCATACACCCGCTTCTATACGAGTTTTTTTGGACCAAAATATGCAAGCTCCGCGTTGCACGCACGTTCGGGGTTAGTTTCATCCCCAGTACTTCTGAAACATTAGTGCCCAATTACAACGTATCGTCGTTACTTTGCTGCACATGCAGATGCACGCAAGCCGTGCTAGCTCCTATAACCATTACTTCTGTTGTTATTTCTTGAAGGAAGCTCATCGAATTTCCTGAGGCATCGAAAAGCCTACGTTGTTTCCCATCACCCACGATGTGTGCATTATCATCAAGATCAATGCCTTGTTCGCGTACTCACTTGAGGAACCCAACAGGGATAATCGAAATCACAGAGCCTGTGTCTATGAGCGCTTTTGCTGTGATACCAAAAATTTCCACTTTACAAGTGCTTGGCCTACCTATAGCGCCGATTTGGATTTTGGGTCTTTCCCTTTTCTTTGGACAGTTTTACACCATCTGTCTAACTCTGTTACAAGCGAGCTACCTCCAGTTGCGTTGTTTCGCGTATCGTTATAGGCGGTTTTGGCCGCTCTCACGGTACTTGTGGTTCGAGGGTTTCTCTCTTTTTCTGCAGTCCACTGCCAGATGTCCCCTTTTTCAACAATAGTTGCATTTGGGTATGGACTTGGCTAGGGTTCCTGCTTGTTCACTGGTCGTATTGAAAGAGGAAGTCTTTTGAGGTTCGTTATCTTGTCGATCAAGTCCCCTTTTCTGAAAACGCAATTGGGTGTTGCTATCGAACTGCAGCTTTTTCAGCCGCATGGCAACTCTTTTCACCTCTTTATAGAATCGCCCCTCTGGCGCATCCAATGCAGCCATCATGTAATATGAATTGTGCCAGTGTTGAAAACACGAATACAGCTTAGATTCTCTTATGAAATCCCACTCACTGCTCGGGTGAATTTTTCGAGATAGATCTTCCATGCGGTAACAAAAATCTACTACTGATTCGCCGTTTCTCTTGGAAAATCTCTCGCATTCTTTTATATCTCTCAGTCGACCACAGGAATTTTTAGCGCTGCCTTGAGTGCTACGACACCGTTGAAGGTCCCCTGCTTGACTGTATCTGGGAAACCCTTATAGAGTGAAAGAGCAGACTCGGAAAAGATGGCTCGTATTCTGGATTACGCCCGACCACAGAATATAGTCCAACTACGAACATTCCTGGATGGCAGGATATTATAGAAAGTTAGTGCTGCGCTCTCCGCAGATCGTAAGCCCTTATATTACTTGACAAGCGCAAAAAGATTATTCGTGTTCACAAATGAACACACCTTAGCTTTTGAAATGTTTAAAAAGGCACTCACGGAGGCTTCAGTTTTGGCGCAACCTATAGAAAAGCAAGGGACGGATCTCGCCCCTTTATTATCTACACAGATGCTAGTAGGGTAGGCAAAGGTGCGATTCTAACTCTAGATGGAAATGACGGCTTGTTGCACCCAGTATTTTTTTTGCTTCTAAGCGCTTGTCTGGAGCTGAGAAAAACTATCATGTCACTGATCAAGAAGCGCTAGCCTTGATTTTCAGCCTCAAAAAGTTTCATTATTTTATTCACGGTGTTCGTACTATAATTCGGACAGATCATGCTGCTCTCACCTCGCTCTTCAAGCGAACCAATGTTTCCCCACGGGTTTTGAGGTGGGCGCGCGAAGTTCAGCGTTATGATCTGACTATAGAGTTCGTGAAAGGAACTGCCAACGTGGTTGCTGTCTCGGGGGCTTCCTATACAAGACAGCAGCGGAGAGGTTATGCCAAAGACGAAAAAGTAGTCTGTAGAGTTCAAGAAAGTGACTGGCTCGTGGAATTTCTTCAGGACCCTGACTCTGAACTTTTGATGAAATGCCTGGAGAATGGTGAGACTGAAGAAGTCAAACTTCCTAGGCACGGTAAAATTGAGCTGTTTTTGTTTTGCATGACGGAAAATTAAGTTTAATTAATGAGAACGGATCTCTGGCGACCGTAGTACCACGCTCACGAAGACGAAAAATTTTTGATGAAGCCCATTCAGGTATTCTAGGCGGACACATTCAGGTATTCTAGGCGGACATTTCAGCGCCAAGAAAATGTTTATGCAAACGAGAAAAAGTCCCTTCTGGCCAGAAATGTATCAAGATTTTTTCAGTTGGTGCCACAGTTGCCAAGCTGTTTCTTGACTGATCGAAGGACAGAAAACGTGCCACCCTTACGGCCTATTGGAGTCACAAGACCACTTCAGATAGTCGGCGTCGATTTATTAGAAATAGGCCTGGCCACGCGAGGAAATCATTACATTGTCACCATTATCGACCATTCGTTTATTGCATGAAAATGAAGAAAATTGAGACTCGACTCGATCCTTTCATTCGAGGCGGTAGTTGACATTGTCAGAAACTTTCTACAAGATGGGAATCCGTAGAGACATTCTTTTTCCGCTTTCTAACGACAACGCCAATGTACCATAATCATAGCAAATTTGTTCTCCTGCTTGGATTACCCTGTTTGAAAACAATCCCACGTGCGGTACAGTATAACCAATCCGTACAATCACCATAGAAAGATTGGGCTCACAAGCATTGTTAATGAAGCGAGCCAAGTTGCCTTGATGTCGCGGAACACAATACCCTCTTCTCCATGTTCTCTGATAGTTAAAGTATAGTTATGAACATGAGGTAAAACTGCTCTTCGTTCGACTTCGTCCTTATTCAAAACTTCTCTCTTTATTCACAAATGAACACTCCTTTTGGGATCTCTCGCGGTGCCCGAACGCCAAATCCTTTATGACCGGGACAGCTGAATATCTTTAGCGCCACCTGGATTCCTTGCTGAACGACACGATTGCGACACTACTCGTCTCGTTGGAAACACAGGCATTCGTCATGGCACTCTAGAATCGGCGCACCACTCGTCTTCTCAAGTAGGATACCATCGCTCGAATCCTCTGCACCTGAAAGACAGGCACAATTCTGCTCTGCAGAGCATTCATCCGTACAATCACATCCAGCTAACAACTCCCAGTCATTCGGATCACTTCCTGGTCCTCGGACGGTCGTCGGAATATATTCGAAGTCCATCTTTGGCCTGGGTATAACCTCAATAGCCCTGCTCTTGTTCCCTAGCCAGACTTTCCCATCAAATAGACAAACTTAAGATACTGGGTTGAAACCAAAAAACCATTCCATCAAATATTTAGGAGCGTACCCCATAGCGGACAAGAAAGCGGAAACCATTGCAGAGGCCATTTTTAGCAACTGGGTTTGTGGTACCGGAAGATGGCCGGAGGTACCTCTCTCTGATCGAGGGAGTGAATGCAAAAATGAGATAATGACCGCTCTCTGTGAAGTTATGGGAATAGCACAAAAATTCACTAAAGCCTACTGCCCCCGAGAAAATGGATTGAAAGGGTCAATGGGACCATTGTTAGAATGTTGAAAAAGAAAACAGTGGTAGCTGCAGAATGGGATCGAGTCCTACCGACCGTTGTTTATGCGTATAATGCGCCCCCGCATGCAGGAACGGGAGAAATTCCCCATTTCTTGTTGTATGGGCATGATCCGGTATATCCTTCAATGTCAATACCTTCGGAACACCTATCGCCTTACATCATGGAATACGATACCTACAAGACGGAAGTGCTTTGCGGACTCAAATTAGCGCACGAATGTAAGTGAAAACGCGAAGGAGTATCGTGACAAGATGAAAATTGCTTATGGCAGAAGGTGCAGAACAGCTTCCTCGATGATTTTCAGGACAGGTGATAGAGTTTATACGAAGCTTCCTGCCGAGAAAGGCAAATCGCGGCATCGCATCCCGAATTAGCAACTGAGTGGTCCGGTCCATTCAAGGTAATTGAAGCCAGCGCTAACTCAGCATTGGTCACTTTAATCGGTGTAAATGAAAAACCGGTTAGGGTTCAGTTTGACCATTTTATTAAAGTACCTAAGAAAATAGGTGATGACAGAATCATAGGGACCACAGCACGTGCAAAACGTGGTAGAAGAAAGAAAAGTTCTAACTTTAGCAATGTACTATCGATTCAAAAATATCACTTCAGTGCACCATCATCGTCCGAAGATAACGTCCGCCTTGTAGATTGGAAATGTCCGGGAAGCCTGGAGGTCAAGGGACAACGAGTGCACTGCTCTGTCAACAACGCCATCGGAGGACTTCATATTATTGTTCTGCCGTCATGTGTTTTTTGATCACCGTACCATCGCACGATTAATTGCTGTCGCTGCGCAGTCACATATAACCGAAAATTTTCGAGTCTCCCGCCTTTTGGATACCTTACGATCTGATTACACCAATCTCTTTGGGTTTGGCCATGTCGCTTTATCGCAGTCGTTGCATCCACACTCCTCTGGCGAGCGTAGCTCATGCCACCACACCAACGGCGGGTTCCCCCCCCCCTCGCAGGACAATGGATCCCTATCATCTGCCAAGGGTGTACACAGAAGCGCTGCAGATAGCTAACGCGCATCCATGAACCGGCAACAGCGGAACAGCTGTCAAACCACGCCGCACATTGATTATCTTGCCAGAATGATTCCAGGATGTACTAGCTGGGTTCGAAACGGCCACAACAATTGCAAAGTCGGCTGCCGCACCATAGAGGAACTCGAACCCCTCTGGTTCAAAGAAGAGCAGCGCCATCATCCTATACTCGTCAGCTTCCATTACACCGAGCCAATGCAATGGAAGAGTGCCTGATTTACTGATGAAAGCGTCTCTGAAAGTGCAGAATTGATTACAATTGCAGGACCACAAGACGATGCAGAATGGGGCAGAAGCGTGGATCTTCTTCGGGACTTCATCGAAGAAACTTCTGCCCAGAGACCGACTCTTAGGCAACGCCTTCGTTGCCTCCTACTTTTGCGGTCTCAAAACTTCTCTGTGGATGCGCCATTTAAAACATTGGCGGATAAATGAAGCTGGTATCAGGTCGACACCTCACGCAGAGCGCAGCAAAGAGATTCTGGTCCTCCACTTTGAAGGCACACAGCTCAGTGCTGTGCTTGCCGGAATTTCACCGTTTCCCGGATCACCAGAGACGCGCTCCAGTAAAGCCATTTCAAGAAAGGAACAACAACTCCCACCAGCATGCCTATGGTAGCCAGCGCAGATATCTCGTCATGCACAAAAGAAATCTTTCCATAGGAGATACCGCTCTTGCTCCAGATCGCGAACGCTCACTTAAGAGAACCGCCACGACTTCAGCAACGATGGCTTCGTGGGCGCGTTTGGAAGCGGGATAAGCGCAGTGGAAGCGCCTCGTTATTCCGGGGGGACCCATGTAAGGAAACATAGATTATTGGAAGGGCCCATAGATTGTGTAAATTATATCGTCTGTTTGTTTGTGACCCAGCGCTGGGCTGCTGGAGACTGAAGGAGAACTAACCTGGGACTAATGACCAACGGATATTGAGGTGCCTGAGGATCTTGCCAGGGGGGAAAGGGCTGACCCCCGAGGTATCATAAGGTCGCCCCGCCCCCTCTCGCGACCACACATAAATAGCGAGGTCAGACAGTATTGCACACTCTTTTCTACTCACTCGACCCACTCGCCTCATGACCCCACTGTCCCAACAGTGGGGCATCTATTCTACTGAAACTATTTTTCACTCTTGTTCAACTTCAATCTAGTCACAACTAATACATTCTTCGGATTCGAAGAAAACCACTCTCACATTACCGGTTAACCCTCTTCAGGTAATAGGCAAATTGGGTTCAAAAAAGTATGACAAAACTTTCCTGCCAACCTAATAATAACACACTAACACTCAAACACACAATCTGAGCTAGGCTCCGCACGGTGGAATATTCGGTGAGCTATTTGCAGTTATCACCGGACTGTTCAGAGGCCTTTATGACAAGACGTCGGGAACGCCATAGTGGGGAAGGCGCGCGGTCAGGTAGTCAAGAGTAATTTCCAAGTCTTTGAGAAGAAGAGGAGGACGAAACTTCAGGTCAATAAAAGGTTCCACCTAACAAACTCGTTTGGCAGATGTTATTTTCTGGATTCTCTTGAAGTTTTAAAAAGCAGTCTCTATGGAGCCAATGGGAGGATCCGCTGATGAATAAATCTAAGCAAGGTCACCTTCGCGTTTCGGAAAAAGCTTTCTGAGTTAATACTCACAACACCAACAAGTCGATTATTTCGCAGCAATGGTGGAGCTGTTTTCGAGAGGATGTATTGACCCAAAGGAGCAGTGATCAAAATCGTAATAATGCATGCGGTTTGTGCCTGAAAAGATAACGAATATGAACAATTTACTACTTTTCCCGGTGAGGTTTTATCGTTGAGAGTGCGTAAGCTAGCCATTCGTGATCGTGTAAGGTTTTCTTCACCATATGTGCCCGTTCTCATATTCCGCCATTCCAGCTGCATAAACCATGATTGAGGGAGCAAGAGCTGCCTATAATGATAATCATTTTTTTCTTCCACGTACTTATTGTATAGAATGCAGTGTCCCAAGGAGGAATATAGCAACATTGGAGCAGTAAAAGAAAATCAAGGGCAAAAAGTGCTTTCTTTCTTCATGAAAAGGGAGGTGGAGTCGCACTGAAGACGACAACTCATCCGCAGCAAGATTACACAGGAAGCAGCTGTACGACATAACACTGCTCCACGCGAATCTCTTTTCTTCCATAGAAGTCAGCTGGATTTGGGGGCGAGGGGGGAAGCTTGTCAGTAACGCTTGACTTTATTTCAGTAGAACAAGCATGTACTTCTACAGTTTTAGTAGCACCACAATACCGCCCCTTTGCAAAATCGACGATTTGCGACGGACTAATCCGTCGCAAACCGTCGCATTGCCATAACTTTCATAGAAGTGGTTGAAATGATCTGTAAAATCTGACCAGTCGGTAGCGGTGCTCATTGCGAACTAACGTTGTACAGATCTTCGGAATTTTCCTAATATTTCTAACTGTTTCTAAGGGAAAACCACGATTGAGTCTCCAGTGACCTAAAGTGTTACCTGCGGATACGGCCATGTCGTAAACCCTCCACTTGGACCATGAAATTGGACCAATGTGTTTCAAAGTTAGAATTACCGACATATTTGGAAACAGCATGATTCGTGAGCATTTTGGTGCCATCAATGACAGGGTGTCAGGTGGAAATTTAGTTTCAAAAGGATCATTTCGAGTTCATTGCTTCTTTACAGTATAGCTTACGAGGAAAACAGGGTAACTTTCAACCAATTAGGAGGCAAAGATAAAAACTACAATACCCGCCCGAATTGTTTGGAAAAAAAGCAAAAAAAAAGCCAAACCGCGTTTTTTTGTTATAAGTGTTTCTGTAAAATTCTCTTATATAGACACTTACGCTGTTAAACTCAGCTCGTCGAGTTCTATGAGATGGTGTCCTAAAAAACAGTCGAATATTGAACTCCGCTTTCCATCGAAGTACCTGAGGACACCCGTTAGCGAGTGAGTCTCGATATAACTGTAACCAGAGGGCAATCGTTGAAAGTCAAGAATGACGCATTGTGTCGCGCATGAATTGATTATGATCTAGGGAGTTGTGTTTTTCAAGTAATGCTGATCATCACGGTGCCATTTCCTTGAGAATAGGGAGGTTCCAGTCGACGTCACTTTTAAATGATACCGCTTTTTCAGTTCGATAAATCTCGCGCATTGGTCCAGTTAGGACCACACGAGCAAAAGAGACCTAATGTGTGAAGCCGTGTTTTCCCCAACATTCGCAAAATTTCAAGGATAAAATCGAAAAGGAGGATCTCTTTGCTGCATGAATTGAACACTTCATGCGATACTAGGGCAAGTACACGATTTTGAGCATTTTTAAACAGGATTTCCAACGCTCTGACTGACCCCATAAGTTCCATAAAAAACCCACGTACAGAACGTCTTGTGCTGTCTAACAAGTTGGTGGGAAACAGTTGAATATTTCGGACTGCTTGTTGTTGTCGGCTGCCAACTTCAAGACTTCTTTCAGAGCCAAGTTCACGTGTTTTTCATAATAAGGGAATCCCTGGCAAAGTCACGGCCTATTCGCAACGCCATGGAAATGCACCTAACAAAAGCCAAATAGCACCCATGGCCCATTGCTAAGCCCGCCCACTGTGGGCGGGGCGTGCGTCCAAAGTTAGCGATGTCACTTAAAAAAGTCATTCATTCGGTTACAGAGCAGCCCTAGATGAGAAACAGGTGCAGTAGGGTTGACAAAGGCCTGGCTGACAAACGGAGGAGAGACTCCGAAATGGGCGGCGGCTTTCCATGACACTGAAAAAATTACCATAACTGGCTACGAAGCAGCTCAGACGACTCGAAAAAGGAATTAGGTTAGCACTGGTTGGCGGCCACCAAATGGAGGAGAGAGACCCGAAAATGGGCACGGGCGGTACTTGCAGATGGGCGGTGCTTCCTACAAAGCGATAACTCCGGTCCCCGAAAAATGTTTAGGTGAGCGGCCAGAAAAGTCCATTGACGAAGACAATATTCTGCAAGAGTCCACCCATGTTCTGCGGCGTGCTGGGCCTCCGCCCACAGTGGGCGGTAGCGTGCATTTGAGCAGAGGCACGACAGTAAAAAGTCTTTGTTTGGCCCTGCAGATGTTTGCCCAAAAGTGGAATTGTGCGTCCCTAAGTGTGAAATGTAGAATGCGCGAGGCACCCCGTTGTAGGCGGGCGTGCCCAAGGTGGGTAGAGCCAAATTTTAAAAAATTGCGCAAAACGGTTCTAAAGGCACTCCAGACACTGCGAGAAAAAAGTATAGTTTAAGGCCATCCGAGGGTCAGTAAGTGAGAAGCGCGAGGCATTCGTTGCGGAGCGGAGCCTGCCCAAGCGTGGCGTGGACCAAAAACTAAAAAAATGTGCGGCAAAACGCTTCCAGAGCACTCAGACGACCAGAAAAATAGTTTGAGGTCAGCGAGTGGGCTACCAGATTGAGAAGGCGCGAGGCATACGTTTGTGGGCGGAGCATGCCCCGAGGTGGGCGGGTCAAGCTTAAAAAATTTCGCAAAACGTTCCAGAGCACTCCAGATTCAAAAGTAGTTTAAGAACAGCGAGCGGTTATTAGTCGAGAAGCGCGGGGCATTCGTTGTGGGCGGAGCCTGCCCCAAGGTGGGTGGAGCCAAATTTAAAAAATTCGCAAAACGGTCCCAAAGCACTCCAGATTCAAAAGTAGTTTAAGAACAGCGAGCGGTTATTAGTCGAGAAGCGCGGGGCATTCGTTGTGGGCGGAGCCTGCCCCGAGATGGGTGGAGCCAAATTTAAAAAATTCGCAAAACGGTCCCAAAGCACTCCAGATTCAAAAGTAGTTTGAGAACAGCGAGGGGTTATCAGTCGAGAAGCGCGGGGCATTCGTTGTGGGCGAAGCCTGTCCCAAGGTGGGTGGAGCCAAACTTAAAAAAATCGCAAAACTTCTCCAGAGCACTCCAGACACTCCAGACCTCTATGTGATACGGCCCGGCTTTGCGGGGCGTCGCGCTTACCTGCATTCGTATGATCAAATGCTCAACTAATACCCGGCTTTTCTCTCATCTGCCCACTTCATCAACGCTCCGTGCCACCACTCCATTCACTGTAATAGTGTTGAAATCGCAGGTATGATGCTATTGGTCAAGGAATGTTGACCACCTGTTCATATTAAAGAAAAGCCTGATATTAGGTGGCTAATGAAATGAGTGGAATAAGGCAAGTGCGGCGGAGCCGCGGCTGCTCGACAAAGCCGTGCTGTATCTCAGAAGGAGGCGCGCCGGTGTCAGCCGGCGAAGCCGGCTGGTATAAAAATAACCTCATACGCTTTCCATGACCTTCCGCAGTTTTCCCCGGCTTTCTACTCAGTCAGCGGTCAATCGACCTCCTAAGTAGTTATCCCACCGAGGTGTCAGGGCATAGTATTGATCAGTCCCACTAATGTCAACTACCACTACCACCGTGGTCTCTTCTGTTCACTATTTGCAGAACAGATCAGTTAGGACTGCTGTTGTCGAAAATTTTTCCATATTTTAAATTTCAATTTTCAGCGCTTTGAAAGGCATCCTGCTTTTCTGAATGTGAGTAGGGTTTCTCCAACTAGAATTATAGCAAGCATTTCACAGACTGGTTTATTTCAGCCTTGTATCCCACGTTTTATTACCCGTTTTATTCGAATGGGCTGTAAAATCTCATGCACATTCGGCTCCTAATCTGTTGGTGATGTGCGAAAAAGGTCCTAAGGTTATAAGCGTAGGTACCGCCGAGGTGGACAGCTGCGATCGGATGGAGGCCTTTGTACAAACGATGGAGAAAGCAAAGAATTAATATATTGCTGTGTGGCATGTAAGTAGTAGTTACCCAGGTTAACTTGTAAAACCCAAAACTGGGGATTTCTGGAAATTCAAAACTGTTCAAACACTTAACGTTTCTATTGTCTCCAAGTAATGGAACTCGGTTGAAATACTTACGGATAATGGATAGTTACTGAGTAAAAGAGCATTGATTAATGATGGAGGGATTTATAATTTAAAGAATTCAACTTTTATAGAAATTTTTGAAAAGTTTTGAAAAAAGCGAAAATCGAAATTTTAAATATGGAAAAATTTTCGACAACAGCAGTCCTGACTAATCTGTTCTGCAAAATAATGAACAGAAGAGACCACAGTGGTAGTTGACATTAGTGGGACTGATCAATACTATGCCCTGACCCCTCGGTCTTAGGAGGTCGATTGATGGCTGATTGAGTAGAAAGCCGGGGAAAACTGCGGAAGGTCATAGAAAGCTCATGAGGTTATTTTTATATGAGTAGGGCATTTTTCATGGGGATTCGGATGGTGTGACTCTGAAGGGATTTTTTATTATGGAAAAACACGTGAACTTGGCTCTGAAAGAAGTCTTGAAGTTGCCAGCCGACAACAACAAGCAGTCCGAAATATGCAACTGTTTCCCACCAAATTGTTGGACAGCACAAGACGCTCTGTACGTAGGTTATTTATGGAACTTATGGGGTCAGTCAGAGCGCTGGAAATCCTTTTTGAAAATGCTCAAAATCGCGTACTCGCCCTAGTATCGCAAGAAGTGTTCAATTCATGTAGCTAAGAGATCCTCCTTTTCGATTTTATCCTTGAAATTTTGCGAATGTTGGGGAAAACACGGCTTCACAAATTAGGTCTGTTTTGCTTGTGTGGTCTCAACTGGACCAATGCGCGAGATTTATCGAACTGAAAAAGCGGTATCATTTAAAAGTGACGTCGACTGGAACCTCTCTATTTTCAAGAAAATGGCACCGTGATGATCAGCAATACTTGAAAAGCACAACTCCCTAGATCATAATCAATTCATGCGCCACAATGCGTCATTTCATTTCCGAAGGCTTGACTTTCAACGATTGCCCTCTGGTCACAGTTATATCGAGACTCGCTCGCTAACGAGTGTCCTCAGGTACTTCGATGGAAAGCGAAGTTCAATTTTTTAGGACACCATCTCATAGAACTCGAAGAGCTGAGTATAACAGCGCAAGTTTCTATATAAGAGGATTTTACAGAAACAGCTATAGCCAAAAAACGAAAAAACGCGGTTTGGCGCTTTTTTCGCTTTTTTCAAACAATTAGGGCGGGTATTGAAGTTGCTTACCTTTGCCGCCTAATTGGTTGAAAGTTACCCTGTTTTCCTCGTAAGCTATACTGTAAAGAAGCAATGAACTCGAAGTGACTTTTAAACCCAAGTGTTCACCTGAACTTCGACATGAAACCCTATCATTGGTGGCACCAAAATGATCATTAAATCATGCTGTTTCCAAATATGTCGGTAATTTTAACTTTGAAACACTTTGGTCAAATTTTCTGATCCAAGTGGAGGGTTTACGACATGGCCGTATCGGCAGGTAACACCTTAGGTGACTGGAGGCTCAATCGTGGTTTTTCCCTTAGAATCAGTTAGACATATTATAGATTTCAGAAGATCTGTTCAACGTTAGATTCGCAATGAGCACGACCGACTGGTCTAATTTTCAGATTTCAACCACTTCTACAGAAATTATGGCAATGCGACGGTTTGCGACGGATTAATCTGTCGCAAGCCGTCGATTTTGCAAAAATTTGGGGCTGTATTGCAGTAACGAGAGTAGCACAGAGTGAACCCAAAATGCGTTTCTTTTAACATCATCCCGCCTTACAGAAGTACACTCAATGGATTGTCTGCATCCACTAACCTGTGCGGATTTGCAATGCAAGCTCTCCCTTTTTCTTTTGAGAGGCGTAAGCGCTAGACAACGGCGCATTGGTTCTAAAGGAGCTTTGAAAGAAAACACACGGATTGGAACGATCCACCAGCCGCAGCAACAAATGTTCGGATTAACAACCCACAGCTGGATCATCAAAGACAACAGCAGTAGCTGATGGGTATACCACCGCCACGAAGCGAACAAAGTGCTTCCAGCTACTCTCAAAACTGCCAACAGGGAGGGTCTTTTCGGTCGTTGAGCCCGTTGTGAAAACTGTTTGTTGCGTGTTTTGGAGTATACTTTTGTGGTGGCCGCATAAGTATACTTCATTTTCGCTAAGCGCTTCTGTGAGTGGCAAGAAGGGCGAAAAGAAATTACAGGACTTCTTGACGAACTTCACGATGAGAGGCTCGAAGGTTCCGACTCATATGAACATGCGAAAATAAAAATAGCCGGCATGCAAATTTCCTCACTTAGAATATTTGAAACAACCATTTGTTTACGCTTTCTCTGACCTTCACAGAAGCGCACAGCGCAACATGCGACAAACCATTTTCAAAATGGGCTCAACGACCTGGAAAACCTTCATTGTGAATCTCTTCAGGACCCGGAGGTTTCAACGTCAGTTAAAGGTTTTTCCGCGTGAATCGGGAGGTTTACTTTTTTCCAACGGAATTGCTCCTGGTTTACACGGGCTTGTTTATTGCGCTCGTCTGCCACACATTCTTCTACACATTTTCAGTTCTCAAAGTTTCCATGACATGTTATTCATTGGTTCAAGCTAACCTGGACAGTGGCTTTCGGAAAGAGTGAGAGCGCGAGAACGAGCTGCTCCTTTATATTGAACTCGGAGCAGCAGGAGAAAACTCTTTCCGAAAGGAATCTGACCACTGCTCCGATGCCGATCAGTGCACATCCGGTGAGCACAGAAGGCCAAGTCATCTAAAAGAGAAGTAGTTGCTTAACGCGTTGGCGACATTGCGTCCCACTGCTGGGATGCGGCATGGGTAAAAAACCAACTTGAAGACTTTCAAATTTTCAGCAGCTGCATATTGTCCATGAAGGCATTGTAGAATATACAGTAGCTGTAAACCGTGCACTTGTGTCATTGAGAGTATTCTAAGGAGGAGACAAACGAAAGTGATTCCCTAGGAAAAAAAAGATAATTCTTGGATATGTGGAACTGAAGCTCCACACAGATAGCTAATGTGATAAGGTAACTTGTAGCAAATCTCAATCGAATCCAGTGTACCACCTCTGGCGCTAGAATATTCCTTTTTTGCGGCCTTGTTCCCACGCCCCATGTGAACGAGGCGGAAGTATTCCATGAAATTAGGGTTTATCTTGAAAGTAAACAAGAATAGCGAAGCCCTACTAGCTTCTGCAATGAATCTGACCATTCTTCAACTTTTTTGGCATATAAACGCCCTAGCATTATGCGCATCTTCGAATAGGGAAAAACTGCTTTGTCCCACGCGGCAGACACGCGAAAAGGCGCCTTGTCGCCAATGTGTTAACGTCGTAACCGGAGCTTCAGATAAATTCGCTTCCATCGAGAAATTGAGTTTCATGCCAATTAAAGCGAACAAAAGAGGCATGACGAAGAGGTTCCAAAGCAGAGCAGACGTCTTCTCTACATAGACGATCTGAAAAATGTCTTTAGTCACTTCAAACGGAAGTTACCTAGTAGACAGGAACTGGTCCGCATGAATACCTTATATCGTTGTCAGTTTTCCATCGAAATCCAGCTATAAAAGTGATCAGCACGGTAGCAGCAATTCCTCCACTCATGAAGCCAAGTACACTTCCGCCTCAATACCTCAACCCGTAGTCTACATTCATGGAAGGTACATAGTGATAGGCTGCTGACAATAATATCAGACCCCTGACTATTCGAGAACAAAATCGATAGTTCGGTACTAACAAGGGAATGGTTTGAAGTTCCCATGGAACTTTGAAAGGAGACCTAGGTACATCGATAGAGCCTAGAGTGCTGATTACGAATATGCAGATTAAAAGTGCTACGGGGACCTCCCAGACGAGGGGTGGTCAGAGTTTGAGCTCTGGCTTGAATGCGCTGCTGATCGACACCTCGGCAGTGCCACCGTGGCCTCGCGGTAATGGTCTCGCCTATGAGTCAAACGCATACGGGTTTGCATCCGGCTGGCGCGAAATTTTTGCTTCGCTCCTTACAAGAGCTTCAACTCTAATTTTAGAAATTCTTCCGAATTTACGGACCAGCAGGGCAAGTAGATCAAGTATATCAAGTATACGACATACTCGATCTAGTATGGATTTGGTCATATCTGCCCTCTCTGAACATATTACCCATCCGACAATTCAAAGTTTTAGCGAGAAATTATTTCAGGGCGATTTCGACCCCCTTAACACGAATATCACTTCCCTGCTGGGCCGTAAATTCGGAAGAATTTCGAGAATTTGAGTTGAAGCTCTTGTAGGGAGCGAAACAAAAACTTTCGCGCCAACCGGACCGGATGCAAACCCGCATGCGTTTCACTTGAAAGCGAGACCATTACCACGAGGCCACGGTGGCACTGCCGAGGTATCGATCAGCAGCGCTTACGAGCCAGAACTCAAACTTTGACCACCCAGATCTGGTCTGGCAGGTCCCCGTAGCACTTTTAATTCGCATATTCGTAATCAACATTCGAGGCTCTATCGATGAACCTAGGTCTCCATTCAAAGTTTCATGGGAACTTCAAACCATTCCCTTGTAAGGTCTTTCGTACATTTCGCAAGGGCAACCGTAGTACACAAGTTTAAGTTTCGAGGAAAACGAATGTAGCGCCAAGCCAACCTGAAACGAATGTATGGCGTCCCTAATTTGAAGCCAGCTTTCAGCAAAGTTGAAAACCCGTAGTGTTAGACTGTGCCGGTGACATAAACGAATTCGTAGCCATGTGGAGGGGGGGGGAGGAAGTCGCCAATGACTCCGACGAAAACGATTTAGGCATATTTTAAAAAGAATTTTATTGAGGATTCGAGCAGATAATAGTTGGAAGTAACTCTTCTAGTTGTTCTTATAGAACTCTCAAAATTGATGAGTGGTCCACTGTTTGATGAATTTGTAAGGGGATGAGGAGTTGTTCCATCAGAAGGAACCCTAGAAGGATAGCAGGACTTGACGTGTCTCTCAAATCCCCATTAAAGGCCCAGCAACCACATTTGGTTAACATGATCCCAAATAGATATTTCGGTGTCCACCACATGTGGCTGACATTGTCATGAAGTCAAAAAGAACTGTTGCTCACCGAGTACAAAAGCAGATGACACAGTGGCAAGAAGAAGTGTCCACAAACAGAGCTGTTGTTGACGTACGAGATTGGGAACCACCAGAAGATCCATACTAGACGAAGACGTTAGTATTTAGCCTAATGATACATTGGCGCTGTTCCCCTCGGGGAGGGGCACCTCTGTGCATACTCTTTCCAAGTAATATGAAGGAAATTATAAGACCGTTGATAGACTAACTATCGTTTCCAGTTTTGATGTCTCCGATATAAGGAAAGTTTGACTGCGACGCAAACTGTTCATGATGTAATATTAGGCCAACTGATTGATATAAGCACTCGTGCGGCAACGAGAAAGTGTTTTTCACCAGGATCGCAGAGGAACAAAGTCACCTGGAAAAGGCAGGAGACAGTACAAAGCAAACCCCACCCCGTTGCTCCTTATCCCTCTCCCATCAAGGTACAGCATCGTGATGTGTGAAATGGTGGCGTCGGTGCGATCCGCTCCCTTCCCCAACACCTACATCACTTTCCTACAAGTTCCTAGTTTCCTTCTAGATTTTCTTCAAAAATTCTCCGTCGAGGGGTTGCGGGGGGGGGGCATATAGCCAATATAGAATGGAAAAAACAGCGAAAATGTCAACAACCGCAAATTTTTTTTTCTCAAACACGCTAAATTTCTCTCAAAACTACCTACAACCGCACCTCGCTCTCACAACAACGTCCAAGTACGACCCTCCCTATTGTTTCACAGAACGATGCTGTACCCTAAGCAATAACGCATTTTGCACTTTCGCTACTTTCGTTTGTTACTTAAAGGCAAGTGGCCCGAAATCCCCAAGATGTGCAGGATAAATAGCCTAACAGGCCAGAAGTCGGCGTCCCTGAGTGCGTGTTGTATGGAGCCTCTACCAAGGAGGTACCCTTGTACCGCCTTTTCAAGCTGCCACATGCCGACTCGTACGCCAACCGAGTGCGCCCGCCCACAAATATCTGACCGATGCTCGTGTCGTTTCATTTGCGAAGTATAGTATGAAGCAAAGGGACTGATACGAAGCAGATGCGGTGCTGCATGGGTATATGAGTACATAATACATGCAGCCGGATCTACCGTAGCGGTTATTGGCATGATGCCGTCTGATCGTCCGAAACTTCTGAGAGCAAAAGCATTCTTCGTAGGTTTTGTCTGTTGTACTTTGCTTCTTCGCCTACTTTCCAGTCTATATAGCTACTCCTGCTACCCTTCTAGTCCATATACCAATTTATTAGGCTGGTGCATAAGTTCTTAGCCACGAGTTTTCCGTAAATATCTCAATAGCGAACCAACCTGAAGATTAGAAGTATCCACCATTACCATGAACTACTCGTCGCCAGCACTTGGGCAGCTTGTCGATTCCATCCTCCCAGAACTACGGGGCTGGGATTCGACGAAGGCCACAAGCCGCACAATCACCACTGTGTCATGGTTTTGCACTGGTAATTGTGCGGCAGTGTAGCTTGCAAATGCGGGGTGATGAGTGATAGCCGATGCGATGAAAGAGTATCATGTACAGGTCACGCGCACGTGATGACCAAATACCAACCTCCATGCAGACGAAATACGAAAGGATCAAAACAGGGGGCCGAGAACTTATGCACCAACCTAATAACTCTAAATTACAGTCTTCATCATTGCGGACCGGTGGGGCGTGCCAGCCAGAAGGACTGCGCACACTGTTGAAGCCTTCTCAGCCTTTTTTGTTGCAACGCGTATGCGACAAAAGTGATAGAAAACGAGTAATACGAAGGATATTATACAGTAATGCACTTGCCCGCTTCAAAAACTGGTACAGAACGACCTTGCCAAACCGCACCAAATGCAGCCGCACTGCCACACCCCACCGGTCCGCAATGATGAGGACTGTAATGCCTCAGCTTGGTGAGACCTGCAGAAACTATCGAGTGCAAACGAAACCTGTGCTTTCTCCACAGGCGCGACGGCGGTTATCAGCAGAACAAGTCCACCAGGCCGAACTGCACGTTATTATTTGCACACAACATGTAATTTCTGCAGAAAAGTTGTAAAATCAGCATTTCCTGGCGTTGCCCCGTAACGCGCCTTGGTTGACAACACATGACCAGATATGTGTCCCCATACTGCTTTCCTTGGGAGTTTTTGAGAAGAATTTCCTTCCAAATTAGAGGCAACTTCCCTTCTTTGTTTCTAAATAAAAGTTGTCAACCTTTTTGGGGTGAAATTTCCACGGATTTCTTCAAAGGATAGACAACTTACCAAGAACCGCTCCAAGAAACGCACCGGCTACCAGTTGCGCGATCGTGATACCGATTATTTCCACCAAGGGCTCTGCAATGTCACCTGTAGGAGTAGTTCTGCAAAGCAATACTGGCAATGCAAGGCATGGATTGATACTTGTTACAGCATAGAGAGTAGTGTTAGAGCCGCCCACCTAAGCAAGCCTAGGGATATAGATTTCTCAAGACAGTAACTACGGGAACAGAACCCTTTACGAACGCGAGGTTCGTGGAGTGATGATCCTTTATCGTAGAACTTGCAACAGTCCTAATGTGACGGGTGATATTTCAAGTAATTTCAATTGTCTTCATGAGTCACAGTCGGATAGCTGTTCACTGTCGTTCCACGAGTCTATGTGGGCAAGACAAATTATGGCAGTAGCCTTGTCAGTGGGAATCCATGTCTCCATGTCCAGAATAAGGTTTGGTACTAGTACTGCTACTCTATGCTTTGAAACTTGCATAAGTGGACCTCAAAATATGGTAGTGAGTGCCCCTTTTTAGGGGTATTCTCCACCGAAAATCGTCGGGGACTTCGCAAACCACATTCGAGATTTGACTAGCCTCTTACGCCCCTCTCTCCAGGCAGCGGCCAGATGTGGACTCCCTCGTTGTAGATTCTCTGGTGACGATAGACACTCCCTTTATTAGCAAACAAGCTAGGCACTTCAGTCTCACTGGAAATTTGTCCTCCCTAATGTTCTATATCCAAAATCCAGCCTCTGATTCCATATTTTTTTACCTTCTTCTCGTCCGAGAGTGGCGTTTCCCCAGCGCCATCCCCCTGTTGCAAAAAAGTTTTTTTCACTTTGCTCGTGTTGATTTCACGTATACACACTGCAGCTCGAGGAAATGAGACGGGCGGCTTCTTCTTTTCCTTGTTTTCTACTACATACTCGACTGGACAATTCCTTACCTATGATGAACTTTGTAGGTAATAGTTATACCTATTCTACTACTCCGCTGACATTTTGTGTCCGTTCTGTGCCATTTGAGCTCATTTGTGTTGTGTTCTCTTGAGTTGTGTTACGTTTCTGTGGTGTTTTTTTTGTATTCTTTTTTTCTTTTGGTTCTTCTTCTAGTCCCGACCTGATTATGGTATCAAGGAATGTAGCGCATCTAGGAGTGCATATAATTAATAAATAAATATCAGCTTACCTGTTAAGAACACTATCGAAGTGGTAATGAGAACGCTGTGATACAGAAAATATTGTCGAGGGTCGCCGCTGCGAGAGCAAGTGTTGGAAC